AGAATGACCCGTGAAGGCTGCCATGGCTAACTCCAGCTCTGATGGCCCTTCTGGTTGTGGGAGGAATTCTTCTTGATACGGAGATTGTTCTTGAGATGCCCAAGGGTCTGGTTGTTCTCCATAGTAGGGGGTTGGTACCGAAACCCGTATCCATAGTCTTCTCCTCCTTGATTGTTGTAGGAAGGCTCGCGGTAATACCACTCGGATGGTGGTTGATACCCCCGTCCACCAATGGTTGGAGATGCCATGAGGATCCATGTTTAAGATCTGTAAAAACAAAAACAAAACACCCAAGTGAAAAGCAAGGGTGGAAAATAAAATAAAAAAAGCTAAAGTAACAAACTTCTCCCTTTCCTAATAATCTAGAAGTATCCCCGACAATGGTGCTAAAAACTTGACTCGCTAAAACACAACTCCTAACAATGGCCAAGTGTAACCAATGAAAGAGATTGTAGTATAGTGGTGCAAGTAATAAACATCGAATCCTCGGGTCTCTAGATGTACTATTACTCAGCTTCAGTTCATTATCTAGAAATCAGACTAAGGATTGATTAATTAAACTAATCTACTAACTAAACTAAGTAAAACTATTAATTACATGTTGGGAACTCACTTAGGTATGATTCCCCCTAGTTTGCAGTTAGGCCAAGTTGTAATTCACCCAATCCAATTCATTTGACAGATATACTGCAGAAAGTTCTTGACAAGTTTGAAATCTCGACTAAAGTAATCCAAACCCTCTCAGTTCGAATACCCGACGGGCGACTAACCTCCACCGGCATAAACTAACCAAGCAAATAACACACCAAACTTCCTCTACTGGCTTTAATTTCAGTATAGAGAAGTGAATCAATTTCTCGACTAAAACAATTGATCCACTACTTTCAATTAAGGCTGCTCTATTAACCTATGCAGAGACTATCGTTCTAGGTTAAAGCAGGAATCACAAAAGTTTGATTAGGACTCAAGCAATTCAGAATCAATGCCTCAAATGAATATAAAACGTAAATCAATCATGAATTCAAGTTCATACAATTCTTCCTAGCATACAAATCTACGGTTCCTCAAAACCTAAGTGAAGGGAAGTTACTCCATAAAGAAGAGAGAGAATGCAGAGTTCTGATCTAGATATTCAATCTCCATTTTCAAGCTTGATTCTCGAGCTCTAATGGTGAAGAAATCCTCCAAAATAGCTCCAAGAATGATCCCAAGATGCTCTTTCTCTCTCTCTCTCTACGGTTCGTCCCTTGGGTGTTTGGGATCCAAAACCCAGCTCTCCACCTTTAGAATCCTCAAAAACGCATTTATACAGCTCACAAAATCCAAGTTACGGCCCCAAGTTATAGTCGTAACTTCTGGAATGTATTTTTCCTCCCGTGGCCCCGAGTTATGATGAAAATGGCAAAGTTACGGTTTGAACCATAACTTTGAAGGCCAACTTGTAACTCTGGAGAGGCTTCTGTCTTTCGGTCATGTCTCCCTCATCTGAACTCCGAATCAGTCCCCATTTGATCCTAGAAGCTCGTGGTCTCATACTCTTTCTTTTAATGCCTAGATTACATAATTATTTTTCCATAAAATGAGTTAGAAATTCATTCTTCCTTGGGTCAGGCCCGAGTTTCTTCCCCTGAGTCGCTAATTGATCTCCAATTGACTTGAAACTTACGCCTATGATTCATTTTACGTGCTAGGACCTGAAATGTGATAAAGGAACACAACCTAGCGTAAAATGAACCAAAGTATGATAAAAACCAAGCTAAACCATCAAAAAATTAGGGGTAAAAACATGTGCAAATTCAGTGTTATTAGAAGGTCTCGAGGTCCGTTTCAGGGGCCTTTGTATCTGAGCCCGTAAGGGTGGGCATTCGGTCGGTTCGGTTTCGAACGAACCAAAATTATGAACACGGGTCCCCGAATTCTTCCAAACCTCAAACCAAATTCGAACCGAATTATAATTTGGTTCGGTCGGTTTAAACCGAATTATAGTTTGGTTCAGTTTTTCACACAAAACCGAATTTGTTAAGCTAGTACTTGTATCTTCTCACTTTTAAATTATTTTTTAGCCCTAATATAAACAATAAATATGCAATTATATGCATCATCAATGATAAAATCAAACTTTGCAACACATAAGTCATAAAACATTTCAAATATTTAAGTCTAAAAACAACTACAGACATAAAAAGCCACCATTTGGAGCTTGCAATTATAGTATTTCGGTCGGAAATTCAGTTCGGTTGAAAGAACCCTCTTTTCCAAACTATCCATATTTTCCTTTCGAATTCGAAAACGAATAACATTAATTCGGTTTCGGTTCAGTTCGGGTTTATCGAACCGGTTGCCCACCCCTATGAGCCCGAGACAAAGATCAAGGACATGAATTTCAGTTTGCGGCCATGTTCCTTTGCCCGTGAACTCACTTCCAATGCAGCCCAAAACATCATCATTTGAAGATCACAACATGGAGCCAAACTTCGCGGCCGCGAACTATTATTTGTTGGACGCAGACTAGTCCGGATTTCTAGCTGCCTATAAATAGAAGGTGTCTGACCTGATTTCATGGGGGTAAAGAGCTAGTGGCTGAGTGGTTGATGAACTTGATAAGAGAGAAATGAGCTAAAGGGAACCTAGGGTTCACTTGAGGGGGGAATAAGGAAGGAAGAAGAAGGGAATCATCCTAGAAGATTAAAGACTAGTCTCCAACAAGAAATCTTTAAGCTAATGGTTCTTTTCACCCTTTCTATTGATTTCTCCACATATTTCATGCGGTATTCTCCTTTTTAGTTGGAGTAAGAACCTCTAACTCTTAGACGAATGGCTAGGTTTTGTATTGATGGAATGATTTCTCTTTCCTCTTTATGATTACTTGATGTTTTATGATGTCATTAACTTGCTTCAGTAGAGCTAGCTAATGCATGTTCTTAACTTAGGTTATGGTCACCATCCCCTAGGTTAAGCCTAGAATCCACATAACATAAGACATGATTTTAATCATGTGACACTTTGGCTTGAAGCCATTTTTTCATTGGTTTACCCTAGTAGGAATCCAACCTTACAGCCCTATCAATTTGTCAGTTGCAAGACCATTGAGCAGAGAAGTCCACTAGGAGTGCTCTAAGAGACATGACCATTCCCCTAAACGCGATAATAGAGGATTCTGGAATCATGAAGGAAGAGAACGTTTTGTTTATAACTATACCTAACCTAATCTTAGAGTTAGGGGGAACTAGCCTCAAGTACCTCTCAAGAACAAGTCTAGTGTAACTTGGTGGTTTTAGTAGGTTAGGAATATCTCCAAAACAAATCTTAGGTTATATAGTAATTAAGCCTGATAATAGAAATAGATACAATGATCCGTGGATACGACCTCGTAGGTCACCACTTTACTACTTCACCAACTTTAGGTATATTTGTCCTAAGTTTATTAGTTAGTCATCAACACTCGATATTACAAATAATTAAAACTTAACATGAGCCATTCCTTCAGTTCCCATACACCATCGCCACTGTGACAATTTTCGTCATGCATTAATTCCCTTAAATTATCCAAATCCCCAATTCTCTATCATCTCTAAAAGATGTCAGTTTTTCTCGATTCTGCGGGTGATGAGGCCCTGGTATGCTTTTCCCCTACTTTTTAATGCTCCGAGTTTGTCTCATTTTGAAAAACTCTCGTTTAGTTTCTTCGATCCCACGGCGATGAAAGTTTACATATTTTCATATCGTCTTTAGGTCTCTATGGATCTCTACAATCGAATACGAAACCCCACATGTTCCGCCAAATAATTCTGCAAACTTCGGCGCACTCATAAAAATAAGTGCGTTCAATGCACCCAACTCAAAAACTAGTCTTGAAGAGTCAGATTTTGAATTTAATTTGTAGAATTAGTGTAATATGATGATATAACATATGGTAACAACTAATTAGCGGATTACCCTAAGCCCTAGACCCCAACCCTAGATCCCTAAACCCCAAATTGTAAACCCTAACCCTAGATCTTTAAACTCTAAATCCTTCAAATTAAAGTAAATCTTTAATGGTATTTATGCAAATTCATGTGTGTTATTGTTCATCACATCATAAGTAATGATTGACATCATTTTGACATAAATCGCATGTTTAAAATTACGGTTATGAAGCGGGTGCATTGAATGCACCAAAAAAAGTGAGTGCATCGAAGACGCCACCATATATATACGAAAATTGATATTTAAAATACTCATGTCAAATGTCACCTCAACGTTGACTAGATTCTCTATTAATTACTAACAAAAAACTAGCTTTCGGTGGGATTGTCGTATTGAATAGAATAGAACACAAGTGATAATTTTTTGGGTAGTTAGAGAGTTGTAGAGGTATTAACTGGGTGACATATATATTGGAGTATTATTGATTATCTGCTTGTTTGTAGATCATTCCGATTTCCTAAAATGGCTCTCCATTATATTCATTTGAAGATACAAGGCAACTTAGATAGTTTCGTTAATCCCTAGAGTCTGAGCTAATGATAATTTGAGTATATGATAATAGGCGTTATATATGATGGTTCACGATTTCTACTTTTCAGGTTTAATTGACCTAGCGACTCTGTTTCTTTTTTTTACCTAATTTGGCAACTCAGTTGCAGTTAAATGCACAGAGAATATAGGATGGACAACAGAAACTTTACATCGGTAGAAACCAAGTAACTACATAGTTTTACCAGATCCTGCCGTTTGTTGGACATGTTTGGAACTGACATAACAAAGTTGGGTAGACGAAACAGTACCAGAGAGACAAGGATAGCAACGTTAAAACTTAGGAGAGAACCTGCTAAGCAAACACAAGCACAACTGTCGCTTGGGTATGGTCGAACTGGAGGACGACGGCCAGAGGAGGGAATTTTACAAACCAACATTTACAGATACAGACACGAAAGTAAATAAGATTGCATCCAATCGACCGCTCAACTGATGCCGGCCGTACTTTGTACCGAAAACAGTACCTACACCATTAACAAGGAAACAAATGAAGGGTATATAGGAGGAGGCATCACATCACAAATCACAGCGCTCTCTCATTCTCGCCCGGCTCCGTTGTTAAGTCCATAAGGCATAAACAATGATGATTATGGCTGTCTTCAGTTTGTGTGATGCGATCACGTGGGTCTTTCTTCTCCTCAATTCTCATGCCTCTGCATTCTGAAGCATAGGCAGGCGCCCAGGCGATCGAGAGCAAGCTCCTTGGTGTTTGATCGCAGGTTCCCCTGCATTCGAAGACAGAGAGAAAGCGTTTGTATCTTCAGGGGATCGAGTAAATTGTTAGGATTGTAATTAGAGAGGAGTAATCAAGGATGATAATCGCAATTCTGGGGATCAGCATGGTGTTCTACATAAGTTTCATGTCCATGTTTCTGGTGATGTCGACCAAGATATTGTTCGTGTTGATGTGCATGATGGGACCGAGGTTGTGTCGGGCGGTGGGGATATTCATATGTTTCTTCGTCTCTTGTTTCATTTTCCTTTCCCAGCTGCTGGATCATTACTCCCATACGGCTTCCTCTGCCATCCCAACTCCCCTCCTCGTGTAATTATCATCTTTAATTTCCCCTGTTTGTTTCTTTGATCTGTTCAACAACAGGGGATTAACTGCGAAAATGGTACTTATTATTGTTGATAATGTGATTACAAAGCTCAATGTAAACAAATTACAAACATATAATTATGGTAGGGGCCATGGGCATCACGATGGTTATCTTATTAGCAATGCTCTAAATAGTTTTGTGTCAGCAACACTCATGATCGACATGGTCAAGTGTTCGAGCACTAATACGTTTTTTTTCTTTCTTTCAATTTTACTAATCTTTCGGGGTTTGTGGCGATATATGATCTTTCTCATATTTGTCACCTCTCAATTTGTTGTAGCCTACCATGATTCAGAGCCCTAATTGTTCTTACCGGCAACAAATTACTTTCGTAAAATTACCTACCTCCTAAAAATAAACATCTCTACATATACCTAGCCAAAAACATCAAACATGTCATCCACAAGCAAGGGCGGACCCAGGGGCCTTTGGAGTGTCCCAGGATACCACTAAATTTTATAAAAGCGATTCTCTAATCCCGGTGGTAAATTATGTATGAACAGAAAAATTATAATTAATAGTCCAGGACACCCTGAAATTTGAAGAAATGATTATCCTACTCTCGTTTGTAGTTTGCGTATGAGAATATAAATGGTAGTTTGAGTAATTCAAACCCGAGACCAATGCAGTTAAAAGTGTGATTCTAGCTAGAAGCGAAATAAAGGTAAAATTGAAAAGCGTAGAATGAAAGCTTTTACGCATACTGTAAAATAACTAAAGTTGTTGAGTATGACATATACTATGTAAAATATGAGTGCAAAAAATTTAGATAAGTTAATAAATACTTGCAACTAATGTCTAAAGTAGAGCAACTTATAGCATATTAACTATATGTTCATAAACATAGATCTAACAATAAGCCACATTCCCCTATATGCTAATGAATTTGGGAAGGACATAACTGGTGAATTAGATTACTCTATTGAAGTTGAGAATGCATTCAAGTACCTCGTATGTATCTTATAATCTCAATTGTATCATACTATTGGCGATTTACCTTTAAAACATACTTTTTATAATTAATTCCATGAGAAGAATACCCATTTAGTGAACTAAAAGCTTAAAGCGTTTTGGTGAACTAGAAGCGTAAAAGCGTAAGCTTTTAAGTTCTAAAGCGCAATTTAGTTTGATTTTATACACTTAAGATTTTATGTGGAAACGAAAGCGTTTCGGTGACCTAGAACCGTAAAACCGTAAGCTTTTAAGTTTTAAAATGCGATTTTGACTGCATTGCCCGGGACAATACTATTATAAATAAATATAATTTTCATTAGGCTACCAGTTTGTTGTTGTTCTATTCTAAACACTGTGTAATAGCAAAATCCTATTCTCTATCTTTAATTATTTTCAAAACCTAATAATTAATCTAATTACAAGCTACCCTTATAATTTCTATTGATTTTTTGGTTGTACGAGAAGTATTGAAAGTGTTTTTTAAGTTTTGTGTTACATCAAGAACAAATTGAGAAGCAGAATATGCGTAAGTTTGTGAATGATTGTCTAGTATAATATACTGAGATAAATTTGTTGAGCAGTGTAGAGTCTGTAGAATATAAGTGTATTTTACAATTTTTTCAGAATATAAAAGTATATCATGGACTTTTTTAACTTGTATGAGTTGGGTATTTTCTTATTTAATAATTATTAATATTAATAATTATTATTTTTATTTTATTTTTGAAAAGATGACACGCATATATAAAATTTCTGGGTCCACCACTGTCCACAAGTATTTCAATTCCTCTACCATCAACATTTGATGGTGAGAATGATGAATATGGGGCCATAAAAAAATGAAAGCATTTTTTGTTACAAATAAGCTGTGGGTGATTATTAAGAAAGAATACGAGTCTCACAAAGAGGAATAGCGTCTTATTGAGGGTCAACAAAAAGAACGGGAGGAAGATGCAGAGAAAAATGTGAAGGCCATCACCATAATATACTCAACAATCTCAGCAAAAATATTTATGATAATTTTTTAAAGCAAATCAACAAAAGAAGCTTGGACAATTCTACAATAAGAGAACCATGGTATCGAAAAAGATAAAATCATCAAGCTCCTATCGCTGAGAAGAAGGTTCAAAATTCTAAATATGGAGGAAAAATAGATGGGGAAGGATTACTTATCCATAGTAGTTTGGACAATTCTACAATAAGAGAACCATGGTATCGAAAAAGATAAAATCATCAAGCTCCTATCGCTGAGAAGAAGGTTCAAAAATCTAAATATGGAGGAAAAATAGATGGGGAAGGACTACTTAACCATAGTAGTAGAAATTGTCAAGCATATGAAGCTCTAAACGGAATTTCTTGCATATCATAAAATCATATAGAAAGTGCTCAGAAGGTTGCCTTTATGCCTTAGTAATGCAAGTCTACTGTGACACAAAAAATAAAAGATTTATTGAAATTGACGTTTCAAGAACTTATCTGCCACCTACACCACACCCAAATCCAATCCTAATCCTCCACAGCTCCCAAATTCCTTCCACCACCAACTACTCCATATTTCATAAGCAATTCCAAAAACAATTTACAAATCTCAATTTCCACTTAGAAAATAATAAGCTCATTCATCACAAACAAGCCCAAATTCCAACAATTACCAATGCCCTAAATAGTGTTGTGTATGCAACATTCCTGACTGACATGGTCATAACTCATGAGTTCGAGCACTAATATCTTCTTCTTCCAATTTCACTATCCTTTGGGGCTCGTGTTGATATAAAAAATTTATAATATTTTCCTCCTTGGAGCTTGTGTAGTTTACCATTATTCATAAATAATAATGTCTTCCTAGCTCCAATTGTGGCTGCGATCAAGCAATCCCCATGGGAATTCAAGTTTTATTTTCTTATATGGTTAATAAAAAATTTCATTAAGATCCTGAGATGCTTTTAAAAACTAAGGCCCCTCCTAAACATACATTTTATGGGAAAACTAGAACTTTGCAATCCATTCATCAACACTAAACAAGAGATATTAGCTAAGTGTTAAACTTGCTTACCAATTTCAAACTACAAAAGCCATCTATTCATTTCCCAATTGCCCAGCAAAGCTACTAATCCTAACTATCAAAGTAGGAAATAATGGACACATAAGAGCATAGCAAAAAGGTAATACCAAATTTCATGCATACCAAAGCTCTTATATGATTCAGAAATCTCACTGTTCAAACTTGTAAGTACTTCCGCCCACTAAAGCAAATAATCGTGCAACTAAGCTAGAGTTGAGAGCAAGTTGTGAAATCTCAGAGAGAGCTGTATAGTTCTCAGAAACCTTACACGTTTATGAAGTTTTATCAGTTTTACTCATATATCTAAAAGTGACTCTTACACACTCGATCGTTTTAGCATCCATTGGAGAGACGAAGTTTTGCCGGAGTTTCGATGGAGATACCTTCTTTATCGATGGTGATATAATCCCTATCTTCTATGGCTAGCAAAAGTTCCTATTGTTTAGGAAGTGAATTATATTATACTTTATGCATTACTTTCAATGATTTAATGATATGCTTATACTTATAAAAGTATATCTTCTATTATATGTTATTTTGGTTTTGTGCATGTATGATTTTATTGGACGTAATTACTCATGTATGTATATGCTTATGAACTTGCTACGAACTTGCTCTAGCGTGGTATGCTATTGACTTATGCATGTATGATTTGATTGGACACAATTACTCATGTATGTATATGCACCTTGATGCTTGATCTAGGTTGTTGAGAACTCGCCCTAGAAATAGATCATCAAAGCCAAGGACCATTGTTGTGGTGTTCGTATAGGCCTTAACTAGCAAAGTCATCTATGATTCCATTGTTCATGATTGATTAGTTATTGGCATGACGCGAAAGGGTGTATTATCTACTCTTAATTTTTTTCCATGTGGCGAAATATTGATTAGGAATATATTAGTGGCAGAGATGGGTTATCATAGTAGAAGGAATTTCTGAATGCATTATCATTAATGAATTGGTATGCATGATCATCTAGATGAAGTTACCTAAACAATAGTTTATCTTATATGTTTTATCTTTGCTTTACCCGTTTATCTAATTGTTTTTCTTGTTTTACTTGAAGTTGAAAATAAAGGAACCTCAACCATCGCATTTATAATTTTTTTCGAACATAAGTGATTAGTTACAAAGGATTTGCTATTAAAAGACTGGTGGAATACAATCATAGACAAAATCTAGGATAATTACTTTGCAATATACTACAATTACACCAAGTTTTTTTGCACCATTGCTAGAGAATTTTAATAGTACTTGAAAGTAACTAACCATATTATGTTTCTTTTATTTCCAATTAGATCTAATTATTGTATAATTTTTCTTTTATGATCTCAGTTCAACCTAGAAAAGAAATATAAAATCAAAAGATCGTGTAGCGGATAATCGATGAACGAAGAAACTCGAGTTTAGCTTTGTTGAGATCAAAAGAAAGAACATTTGGGTTAAGTGAAGAGCTAGAGGATACTTAAAGGAACACCAATTCGAGTTACACTCTTTTTGGGAGAAAGGAATTTACTAAGTTTATAGTTTTGATATAGAAGAACAAAGGATCCATGAAATCATCTTCAAAGATGGATGGAGCGAATTGAATAGTTCATCCCCAACGAATGTTGCAATTTGAACATTAGTTATGAAAATGGTTCAACAATCTGAAGGATTTGCTGGAAGAAATGACGATGATCTTGTGCAAAATTTGAAGATTTTCTTAGAGAACGTTGATTCAATTTCTAGAAATGTAGCCACTCGAGATGCTATCCAACTAAGAGTGTTTCCTTTCTCATTTACTGAAAAAGCAAAAACACGTTGGATTACCATCCACCAAACATCTTCACCACATGGTTAGATTTATCACAAGTTCTGATAGAAATATTCTTTCCAACATGGAAAACTGAAAAACTTAGATAAGGAATATCCCAATTTCAATAGAAAGATGGAGAGACATTCCATGATGTGTGGAAAAGAT